AACTGATTCTCCCTCCTTCAGCATCCATTGATCTTTAACTCTGGTTACTCATGTCTTATCAGCATTGCCAATTAAGCAACGATAATTTCTAATACGGAGGAGATAGTTATTTTGAAAATAACACAGTTGTATTTTGTCCTTGAAAAAGGGAGCCATGCATGGTGGAATCATGTGTAAAGCAGGGGTTTAGTTAGCCTCAGGGATCGTGTGCAAAGTGCTGGTTCATTTAACCTCAGGGATCATGCACAAAGTGGTGGTTCAGCCTCAGGGATCTGAGCTGATTGGAGCACAAGGTCGTCATTACAAGTTGTCTATTTGCAGGTGGAAACCAGCCATGGGGAAATTGTTCTCCCTAGTCTTGGTCTTGTCCTGTGACCAAGGGAAAGGCAGGAAGCATCTTGTTGCTTTTGTGGGGCTGGAATCCCTGCTTGCAGGGTGGCACGAGGACTTGGGCGGGAGAGCCAGGGCCTCTTAGGGAATGCTGTCTTGGCACAGATCACGTGGGGGGTGTGGTTCCATACCCTGAGCTCTGTGGGATTTCTTCTTTGCTCGAGGGAGGTAGGCAGGGAAACTCCCAAGCCAGGTCTCTGTTAGCCACTCCACATTTGGGAAGCAAGCCCTCTGGAGCAGAGCAGGGCTGTCGCTGAACGGAGGAGCAGACATTCCTATCGAGGTGTACTTTCTTCTTCCCTAAGCTGGAAGGGCTGCTTTGCATTTTCTGTCTTTTCTGTGGGCCATGTGATGGCTGAGTGGTAAGCAATGTGGGGTATCAAAGTTGACGCTTTGATCTGAGCTCTGTTGCTAATTCAGGGGACCATGACAATGTCACTGTGGTGGTTTGAGTGAAAATGTCCCCCATAAGCGCCAAGTATTTGGACATTTTGTCCCCAGATGATGGTGCTGTTTTGGGAGGTCTTAGAAGGTGTGGCTATCCTGGAGGAAGCACGTCACTGGGGGCGGGCTTACAGAGTTCTTAAGCCTTGCCAGATCTCTAGTGGCTCTCTGGCTTCCTGTGCCTTCGTGATGATGTGAGAGCTTAGCTTCTGCTGCTCCTGCTCCAGCCACCTCTGGCACCATGCCTCCCTGCCATGATGGACTGTAATTCCCCTGGAACCATAAGCTCAAATAAACTCTTCCTTCTATAAATTGCTTGGGTCAGTGTTTCTATCACAGCAACAGAAAAGTAACTAATACACTTACCCTCTTGGAATATGGCCTGTTGTATTTGTAAACTGGGACCATAATTTCCCATACCCAAAACCAGCATGGGGGAGGAAATGGAGAAATGGCTCTGGTTAAGAGTGTGTACTGTGCTTACAGAGGACTGAGTTTGGTTCCCAGTGTCCACATCGTGTCACTCACAACCACCTGCAAGGCCAGTGTCAGGGTTTCTGAAGCCTCTGACCAGTGTGGGCACCAGTACCTGTGGAAAAGCCAGGTATAGACAAGTGTGTGAACTCCAGCACTGTGGAGGGCAGAAACAGGATTGTTGGGGCTTGCTGGCTGCCAGCCCAGCTCCAAGTTCAGTGAGAGATCCTGTCTCAAGGGAATAGACAGTGACTGAGCAGGAAACTCAGTGTCCTCTTCTGGCACACAGCAACCACACACACACAGACACCACACACACACAGACACCACACACACACAGACACCACACACACACAGACACCACACACACACAGACACCACACACACACAGACACCACACACACACAGACACCACACACACACAGACACCACACACACACAGACACCACACACACACAGACACCACACACACACAGACACCACACACACACAGACACCACACACACACAGACACCACACACACACAGACACCACACACACACAGACACCACACACACACAGACACCACACACACACAGACACCACACACACACAGACACCACACACACACAGACACCACACACACACAGACACCACACACACACAGACACAACACACACACACACACAAAGGTGTACACACACATGCACATATACCACAGTCACATATACATACATATACCACACACACACACACACATATATATATATACATGCATACTCACCATGCACACATGGGTGTACATATACATGAATATTCACCACACACTTACACACACACATTTGCCACACACATATACCACAAGCACATACACATACAGCAGGCATATACATGTGTACACATACACACAGGTGTACACATACATGCATATATACCACACATACATATACACATGCACATGTACCATACACCTATACACACATGCACATGCACCACACACACATGGGTGTACACATGCATGGGTATTCACCACATACATAGACACATGCACATACACCATACACACATACACACCACACACAGAGGCACACACATCCACACATGCACATGAACACCTCTCCGTGAAACCAGAACATACTATTTGAGAGTTTGGTTTGGATGGGGGGGGGTGTCTTGCGATGTGGAGATGGCACAAGAGCTCATATGTAGATCATGTTAAAGTGCTTCCAATGGTACAAAACTCTATAGAAACTCAAGTTCTTACTCTAGAGTTTTCCTGAGTCTGAGCCAGATAACCACCCCCACTTCCCAGTGTGTGTCCCAGAAGACCAAGTCGCAACCAGAATCATGTATAGAACTCTCCGTTCCTTGCCTTTCCTCTGGCAAACAGCTCTGGTTAGGACAAGCCAAGGAGACATGTTAATCGCTGGTTTTGATATTTGAAAGGGGAGATTATTAAGAGAGGTCTCAGTTCAAAAACTTCAAGAAGAAACAGGAGGGTGTGGTGAGGGTGGAGGGGGAAACTGCATTTCCTGTTTTCCTTTCAGATGATGGTGGGAAACCATGGATACCTGTGAAGAAAGACAAAATTCATTCTTCTTCCTGCAGGCCTGGCCCAAGGTGGCGGCGGGGCGGGGTGGTGGTGGTGGTGGTGGTGGTGGTGGTGGTCAGTTTTTAAAAAGCTATGGATGAGGAGTTTTGAAATGTTTTTTATTCTTTGAGAATTTCTTTGATTACACTCACTTCTCTCCCAACTGCTCCCAGATCCACTCCTCTCACATTTTTTATTTTTTGAATAATTTATTTTACAGAATCTGGGGTTTGCTGGTGTCTGTGTAATGAGAAAAGGCATTGGGCACCAACTGGCACCCAGCCAATTCCATATGCATTATTCAGTTAGAGGAACTCCGAGGCCCTTCCCAACGACTCTCAGCAGACCCCTATTTACAGAGGAATCAACTAAAACCTGCAGTGGCTTGCCAAAAGATGCCTCGCCAGTAAGTGACAACCTGGACAAGTGCCAGCCTCTTCTGACTCTGTCGTAAGCGCTAACAAGGGGCCGCTGGGAGGCCAGCCCCCAAATATCTATAGAACCAACACGAGACCGTCAGAAATGGTGTGGAACTTCCATGAGAAGTCTTGGTGGGAAATGGAGACCCCCCCCCGCCCACATGTCTGGATTTTCATACTGTCCAGGGGTCATTTGGCAAGGTTTGCAGCCTGTCCCTTCAGAGTGCTGAGAAGTCTATCAAGTTCTGTTGCAGAGCATGGCCAGAAGAGCCTCATGGGGGAAGAAGGAAGCTACTTGCCTGAGAAGGCGGAGTGTGAAGTGGGGGACTCCCTACCCCTAGGACATTTTCCTTATCCCATTGCTTTTGGCATGGTAGGCATGGTGGCTAGATCTGGGCTTTGAAGTCACAAGTTCAAACCCCAGCACTGGCAATTGCTAATCTTTGACCCATCATTTAAACTCTTAAACCTTAGTTATCTAATTTGCAAATGTATTGATATATGCAAATCCCCTGTGAGGAGTATCACATAGCTCAGTGCTTGACCAAGTCATTTGAGGCCATTGTCATCATCCCCCAAGCTGTTCTAGATCATCCAGATCCCGATCTTGTGTGTGCATGTACCTACTTCTCTGTGTGCACAGGCACAATAATGCTTGTGCACATGTGTGCACCTGGGTGTTGTGCATCAGGAGCTATCCATCTGGTGTTTTTAAACATATTTATTTATTCTATTTTTTTGTGTATGAGTGTTTGGCCCTGCATGTATGTATATGCACTATGTGTGCCTGGTGCCTGCAGAGGCCAGAAGAGGGCGTTGAATTCCCTGGGACTGGAGTTGTAGATGATTGTGAGTCACCATGTGGGTGCTGGGAATGGAACCCAGGTCCTCTGCAAGAGCAGCCATTGCTCTTAATCGCTGAGCCCTCTCTCCAGTCCCTCCATCTTGTTTCTTGAGACAGAGTTAGTCTCTCATTTTACCTGGGTTGCTCATCTAGCTGGACTGTCTGGCCAGCGAGACCCAGAGATCTGCCTGTCCCTGCCTCTTCAGTGCTGGAACTACAAGCAAGTGCCACTACACTCAGCTTTTAAAAGTTTTTAAAGATTTATTTATTGTTATGTGTGTGGGTGTTTTGTCTGCTTGTATATTAGTGCACCTAATATACAAGGCCAGAAGAGGACATTGGATCCTCTGGAGCTGGAGTTATGGATGGTTGTTAGTTGCCATGTGGGTGCTGGGAACGGAACCCAGGTTCTCTGCAAGAACAGCCAGGGCTCTCACCCACTGAGCCCTCTTCTGGCTCTTGCACTTGGCCTTTTTGCACGTGTTCTGGGGTTGGTCTGAGTGCTTGGGTGGGAAGCACTTTCGTGCTGAGAATCCCCCAGCCCTCCAGGTGCCATCCTCTATTGCACTCAGTAACCAGTAACTGAAAATTATAATTCCTTCTAGCTCACGGCCAGTTCTTTCTTTTGAGCTGGAGTTTGCAGGAGTCCAGCTAAGTGCTTGTAGGGTAAAGGCAGCATTCAGAGGTGACATCAGCTTGCAGAGCAGGCCAGAAGCAACAGAGCCTGGGGTCTGGTTTTCATTTACAGTTTGGGTCCATCCTACAGTGGGGAGGGGAAAAAGGGGGTCCGGAGGAAGGGAGGAGGAGAAGGAGGAGGAGAGGGCGGAGGAAGACGGAGAAGGAGAGGGGGAGGAGGAAGCCCTGACTGTAACCCTGGACCCTGTCCAGTTTGGAGCTCAGTCTTCCACCAAAGGCTGCTCAGTTCTTCGGGCTCCAGCCTCCTGCAAGAGGAGCTTGCTTCCTCTGTTCCCAGAGTCTCCTTTCTTTGGTGGAGAAAGGTTGCAGGAAGAGGAGACACAGTAAGAAAAATATGCGTCCTGGTGAAGTGTAATTGAATCTAGAAGCCCACGGACACAAGTCGCCACGTTTGCTCAGGGTAAGTGTGATTTCCTGTTTCCTCAGACTGTGGGCATGAAGGAAACGCTTTAAATGGAGGTGAGGGTTAGTGGCTCTTAGGATCATTCTGTCAGTTTTCTGTGCATATTTTAGGTGCCTGGAAGATTCTGTTGATGTGTCTTTCCTTTGTGGCAACTGGGTTTCGTTAACCTGGTGATGGTCATAGGTTGCCTAATCGTAGAATAGACTTCATGTGTTTGGGTCTGCCGCATCTGCTGGGAGTGCCCCGTGGGTCTCTGACTATGCCCTGCACATCCCTGACTGGACTGTGGGACTGTGATGTTTTTTGCCTGGTGGTTTATTGGAAGTGACCCTCCTCCCCAGCCCAGCTGGAATCTGCTTTGTTTGCAGAATGTCCCGATGAAGCTCAGGGCTACCTGCCTAGTCACCCTGGGCTCTCCCTGTGGTCTCTCTCAGTTCTCCAAGGGATACTGGGTGGGCTACACTCTGCAGAAGTTCCGCCGTGGGCAACCCCTGGATGGAGGGTGCTGCCTCCTGAGGATGGGGAGACGCTGGTGCCCAGTACCCAGCCGAAACCATCAGAGCTCTATCTTTTCAGGAATCTGAAGTTACTGCTGGAGGCTCTGTCCTTTGGGGTGCTTAAGGGAGCTTCAGCCTAGAGGAGGAACAACGTGATGCTGGGGCAGCTTGCCTAGTGGATAAGGGCAGGGCTCAGGGCTTGGCTGTCCTGGGCTGTCCAGATGGGAGGCCCATGCCAAGCTGGGAGGCCCGAGGGCTACTCCTTGGCCATGAGGATGCTGGGTGGGGTTCGGATCCTTTCTTCCTGAGGGTGGAAATTGTCCACCAATAGCCACCAGCCTATTTAGGGACCTATTTCAAGCTACTATGGGATCAAGGCATGGGTGGGGTTGTGGGGAAAGGTTCTTTGGAGTATTGGAGTTAAAGAAAAATAAGTTTTACAGCAAGACCAGGCAAACTTAGGACCCCAAGAACAAGCTGCTTTCAGCATTTGGGGGCAGGGTTCCCACGCCCCACAGGAAGGCAGAGATGTTGCCCCCAAGGACCATTTCTCCCTACCCATAGCTGATTCCAGATGAGCGCCCCAGAGTCAACAGGGCACTCCCAGGACCTATGGATGGCTCCCAACTTCTCAGGAGGACATATTCTGAATACTACAAAAAGTTAAAATGTAGAAATGACTTTGAAATCAAAATTATATTGTTCTTAACAAAACAATGTAGAAACTAACTGGTTGGTGTGGCTGACATCGTTGGGAGATTTGATTTCTCTGTTGGGCTAAAGACCATATATATTCTTGCCTGGAGCCCCTAGTGCAGGCATTCCTTGGCTTTTAAAGGTGAGGAGTGGGAGGTTCCGAGGTGTTGAACTCAGAATGAGAGGCCAGCCTCCTGCAGTACCCTTTTCCCATGGGGCTGATGAACCAGAAGTGAGGGATCCTGGATGAATTTGCACCTTAGTGTGGGATTCTCTGTCAGATCTGTCTCCACAGAAGAGACTTTCCTCCTGCTACAATCTACTCAAAGCAGGAGGGCAGAGGCTTAGACTTCACAAGGCTGCACAGCTCTCAGAGAAAGAAGCGGGGCCCATAGCAGGGAGGAGGGCATGGCTCTGTGGCTGGAATTCCAGGCTGTGGTTGTCCTACATCCAGACCACCTCAAGGGTGTGGAGGACCCACAGTGATAGGGGCCGTATTTGCTACATTCTGATGTGAGCTTGTTGCTGAGGGTGAGGGCATGGGGATGGAGATTTCCTTTTAGATACAGGAGTAATGATGGTCCCATGCCTGGACATCTTTGTTTAGGCAAAGGCATGCCACTCATGGCATTAAGAAGCCATCAAGCAGATATTAGGTGGACATGGGCAGGATGCTGTCGGTTGGGTGACATAGCTCTCCTGGATTTTTCCAGTCTGGGAGCTAGAGGGTGTGGTCACAGCACCTTTCTGGGAGGTGGTTGGGGGAGCCCCCAGAATGACATCCCTTGACCCAAAGTAACTTACTTGGGAGATGTGTGCCCTACCCCAGTGTGGTAGAGACTCTCGGATATTCAAGCCTGGGGTCTTGGTGTTGTGTCTGAGGGGAGATAGGCAGGGCTCAGAACAAGAATCATCCTACTGATAGTTTTCACTTTATTTTATCATAGCTCACTGATTTATCTTTAGTGAGTTTTATGATTTCTTACACTAGAATGTAATATATCACTGACGGGGAAATAGGAGAAATTCCTCGATTCAACCAGTTATCAACTGGGGCTGTGTATGCTGATCTTAATTTTGGGTGTGGAGCCTGCAGACTCCAATGCCTAAGGCCATAGTTTCCTCTGGAGCCCATTTGTAGAGGACATTTACCTCCCCAGCTCTACTTGCTTCCTTGCTTCCTCCTGGTGGTTCGGTGGAGAGAGAGACAGAGAGAGAGAGGGGGGGGGAGAGAGAGAGAGGAGAGAGAGAGAAAGAGAGGAGAGAGAGTTTCAGTCTGTGTCTCCACCCACTTTTATGTGAAATTCCACATTTAGGATTTAAAATTCATCAGGAAGTCACAAATTCTGTTGCATGAGATTTCTTGTAGGCATGTTAACAACTAGCAAAAAAAATATTTTTCCTCTGAAAGTTACTGTCACTGCTCTGTGGATGACGCTAAGCACTCGCTATTGCTTGGGTCAGGTGGCAGGTGGTGTCCAGGTCCGAATAGGCCACTGAACATACCAAGGAAGCTTTTCCACACCGACCCATGGGAGCCAACTTCACAGCGTGTCCCAACCATGGCAGGCAGGCAGTAAAAACACCACCGCTGCATAGATAGTCGATGGTTGGAGGAGTGACCTAACATTTAAAAATCCCATTAGGAGCTCTAGCTTAGGAAATCAAACCTCAAAATGCTGTTTTATTATTTATTCTCTCTCTCTCTCTCTCTCTCTCTCTCTCTCTCTCTCTCTCCCTCGTAGGTGCCCACAGAAGCCAGAGGTATCAGATCCCCCTGGAGCTACTGGATGTGGGTGCTGGGAACTGAACTCAGGCCTATGTAGTAGTTGAGGCGTCTCTGGCCCCCACCTCAGGTTTTGAAGTCTGCTGCTAAACTTGATGAGGGTGGTTCACTGCATTCTCCCACTTCTAAATAAAGTTTGTGTTCATAGCCAAAATCGCCTGCTCTTTAAATCAAAGTCATTGCCTGCTGTAACCACTGCTAGGAGCAGCTTGTTCTCAGGGAGCGCCCACCGGGTCTTGATTGTAAAGAGAGAGAAGCTTCAGGAATTAATTATGTTAGCTTTCAACTTTGTAATTTTAAATGCATTCTGATCTCACAGGTCTGTTTTGGAAAGGAATGAAAGTTGGAAATGAATGCATTCCCCGGAGAGCCCATTCTGGAGATGCATTCTGGCTTTGTTCCTCTAGAGGGTAGTGTGTCCCTCTGAGCTGGGGAAACTCTCAAGGTGGTTCCTGGAGTGTCCCAGGGTTTCAGGGCTCCTAGGGAATCAGCAGATTTGCATTCCAGCTTGAGGGAAGCCCTTAGCATTGACCTAGAGCGTGCGTCAGCACACATTCGTTATGATAGATGTAAATTTAAAATTCTATTTTTCTTCCATGCTTGTGTGTGAGTCAATTGAAATGAAATTACACTTTCAACTAACACATTTTCTGCTCATAATTCATCATTATAAGATGTTGGTCAAATGGGAAATTTTAAAGGGAATGCCACCTGTGCTTAAGTTAAGTAAGGGTACTTTAATTATAATTAGTTAATATTTAATTATTAACAAATAGGGTAAATAATTAAAAATAATTTGTAATTACTTAAATTACAAAAGCTTCCAGGAAGAGCCAGGTGTATGGGGACTAAGTACATTTGCATATTCATTCCAGGAACTGTTCTGTGCAATTTCTTTAAAAAATAATAACTTATTTTTATTGTATGTGTGTGGGTGTATTGTGTGTATGTGTGTAAGTGCATCAGTGTTGTGCAATGCCCTCAAAGGTCAGAAGAGGGTGCTGGGAATGGAACCCAGGTCCTCTGTGAGAGCAGCCCCCTCAGTGCTCTTAACCACTGAGCCGTCTCTGCAGCCCCATGTAATTTCTTATTTTAACATTGGAAAAGGCATTAAAATTCATAGATCCTGTAGCTCCTGAAGTCTGCATTTCCCAGCTTTCGTCATTTCCCCCAGTGGAGAAACCTTCTAAAGAAATTCACACAAGTATCTTGTTTTAAATAGTTGTTAACGGAAAGACATTACCGACGCTCTGATTTGAGATTATTCACCTGAGATGAGCACTGTTCAGAGCCCGAGGTCCCGAGGTGCTTTGGAGCATGGCCACCTTCTGTTAGTTAGGCCTTCAGTTAGGCCCCGAGTTTGAACTCCAGCACCACATAAACTAGGCGTAAACTAGGCATAGCAGCACACACCTGTAATCCCAGCATGTGGAAGACTGAGTCAGGATGAGAAGTTCAAGGTCAGCCTTAGCTACATAATGAGTTCTGGACCAGCCTGGTTTATGAGACCCTGCCTCAAACACACAAACAACAAATCTGGACGTTTGAAAAAGGAGAGAGATGGAACAGAACTGAAGCATCTGCCAAGCCACCTCCCAGAGGCCGGTGCTCAGCCTGCAGGCTCTGGCTGTGTTCAGCTCAGCACCATCCTGTACCCTCCTCAGGTTTAAAACTCATGAAATACGGAGAAATGTTAGGAGTGACCAGGGAAAGTCTCGCTGGGACCTGTGTCTGTGGAATCGTGTGTGCTGTGTGTCTGATTTCCACAAACCCAGTGCTCTGGGAATTGGCCACTGGAAGGAAGAGCTGATGGGTCCATTTAATTTCAAAATTAAAAGTTGACCAGCAGCTGGAGATGACTCAGGTCTCAGGGGAAACTGTTCCAGGAAATGGGTTTTTCACTTCTGGAATCTTCACTAGTTGAGTCAGCAGCCAGCGCTCGTGTCTAGAACCAGTTGAGCTTAAACCCATACAAGGCATCCCAGGGAGGTGCAGGATGCCTGACACTCACTGGGTCA